ATATATATATATATATATATATATATATATATATATATATATATAAACAGCACATTTTATATCGATGAGTTTTTATAATGGAATGGCCTATGACCGATATTTAACTTTATCGCTAATATTGCCTGATAACATGCTGAAATTATTGTACATCCCTATTATTTATTTATTTTATTATTATTCATGCGATAGGGTGTGGTAAAAGTAAATTAAAATTAAATAGAATTGTCCTGATACTAGGTTTTTTTTTTTTTGTTCTGTTTTTTCAGAGCAAGTACAAGTAATTCTTTTTGGGTACTTGCAGATAGTGAGTAATAATATTGAGTAATAAGTTAATACCTAAACATTACGAAGTGATTTTAGAAACTAAACTACTTTGTATTTTATTCAGTGCTGCAGTCTGTCTGCTGCCTTAACATTACCAGTGTTCATTTTCAGCTATCTCCAAACTACAGACTTTTTTGCGCACTAAAAGAACAAATGACGTCACTGAGCATAAACGTATTGGTTTAGATTATCATGCTGTTTTTATGAGTACAAGTATTGGAAACTGGTTTTGGGCTATTAAATCTTGCTGAACTTCATTATACGTTTCAAAACCTATAGCTTTTAGATAATTCAATCAAATATGCAAAGAACAAAAAACCAGAACACATTTGCTTTCGCGTCATTAAAAAAAAATCACACAGACTCATGCATCAACAAAAGCTTCTAAATATGAACAGTATGATACATTAAACGCAAGATAAAGAGCCACGTTGGCCATTTCCTGTGAAAATGTATAACATTTGGGTTGCAGACATTGGTGGTTTGGCAGAAGCTTTAAACACACAAGTTATTGGACCAAACAGCTCTGGAGTCACTAAAAAAGACATTTTAGAAAGAAGACCAGTTTCACATAAATTACATTTTGGTTGTTTGTACATATTTATTTAACAATCTACAGTATATAAACAGCATGACTGGGTATATCAAAGCTTGCTTTAGTTCAGTAAAAACCCTGATTTGATCAAATAAGATTATATGTATAAATGTACCTAAAACATTATGAGCTTTCAGTAAAGGAAAGAACATAATTAACATAACCATCATAATTTAAAATCCTTCAGTAAGCTTCGAAGTTGATTTGTTTCTTTTAGGATTGCATTAAAAACACAGGACATTAATGAGTTTTAAATAAATCTTGGAATAATAAAAGCAAATACATTAATTTACTATTTTCTTGAACCTCATTATAAAATGGAAAGTCATTTTACTTGGTAGTCGATACGTTTTCACGTTCAGTGTGGTATCTTTGAACTGAACAGTAAAATACATCAAGTAAAGGGGAAAAAACACTTTGGAGCTTTAAGTTGTGCAGTATTTAAGGGTGTCAAATGCTTATTGAGTTTCTTTTCTTGACCATCCCTTGCTGTATAAACGTGAGAAGACTGAAAGAATACAAAAAAAGTCTCTGAAGTGTTTGAGCTCACAGCAACTATAAAAAATGTTCAGCAATGAATAAGAAATGGAAAATAATACATTTAAGATAAAAAATAAAGCCTTTGAGTTCTGTCATGAAGTAAGTCACAAATAAACGGTAGTTTGTTGAAAAAGCAGTCATTGTGGGTCCTGGCGCCGTGCTAACAGCTGTGGTCCTTCTCCTCCATGCTAGAGCTGGAACTGTGGTTATTGCAGACGTCCGGGGACATCGAGGTCAGCAGAGGATCACTCGGGGAAATTAGCCCGAGTGTGTTGTCCCTCATCAACTCCTTCATTTTACAGGTCCTGGAGCTCCCATATGTCTCGGGATCACCGGAGTCTGCAGGAACCTGGTCGAAGGTGATGGTGCCGTTGTTGAGGTCCAGTGTGGTTGGGGGAGACATGTCTGGGCCACAGCTGTGATTGTAGAGATTAGACGGGCAGTCGCCAAGAATGGGCTCCTGTTTGATGGCCCGAGCCATCAGTTCTGATGTGCAGATCGATGGAGAGGACACCACCGTAAGACCATGAGCTCGGGCTTGGATCTCCAGCTCCTGGAGGAAAACAAAAGCCAGGAAGAGGATGTTTTACTGAAATGTATGACCACATTTACAAATAAATTAATTAATAAAACCTATTACAGAGGTCTTCTTTGAAGGTTTTATCCAAATGTCTCAGATTGTTAAAATCATGTGCTGCTAAGAAGAGCCAAAAATCAACAAAAAAAGCTTTCCTCCCAAACTACCTAACAAGTCTTTGTTTTCACACATTAAGTTCAATAATTTGCAAACGTCTTTACAGGCGGCATAGTAAAGTATAATGACTGTGAACAGAAAGCTAAAGCCTCTTTACAAAAAGCAAATAAATAAATAATCTCCTGATGCTGCTCAATAATCCAGGTAGATAAATCTAACAAGTTTAAGTCAGGTCCTCTGAAGAAGCCGTCAAGAGGATCTGACTTAATTGTTAGAATAATAATCTTTTGTCTTCTTTCAGCTGCTCCCTTCGTCACAGTGAACTAACACACACAAAGATTGGGCAACTGATTTTACACCGGCTGTCCTTCCTGACACAACCACAGACCACCACGCTACCACAGCCCTCTGTGTGGAGCAGAGAGCTGCTATCTAGACTGCCCGGGGAAGCAGATTTGGGCGGGGAAGGGGGGGTGGGTTGTGTAAGGGCCTTGCTCAAGGGCCCAGAGTGGGGCAAATGAGGGTGGAGGCAGGTATGGGTGCTTCACCTTCCCCACCCACATTTTTTGATGTTGTCAATCTGGGGAGTTGAACCAGTGGCTTTCCAATCACAGGGTCACCTTCTCTAATCTCTACGTCACCATTCCCCCAATAGTAATTATAATAGTAATAATAATAATAATAATAATAATAAACTACAAAAAACTTTTAATCTTTTTGTGCAGTTTTTTCTCAGTAACTGAACCAGTGAGAAGTCCAAAAACTTGAGTACTACATTAACACTGAAGTGCATCGGTGTTATCTCCACCCACTTTATCTTCAAGAAGACAAGCAGTCAGTCCAACCATAGACAACCCCAACCTCACCCGGCTGCCACCCCATTGCCTGCCTGGAGTGACCCACCTGTATACGAAGCATCAGGTGGCGGTTTGTGTGCTCCAGCTTCCTCTGCCTACACTCCAGCTCCTTGGCTCTCTCTTGCTCCCGCTGAAGTTTCCTGATGTAGTCCACAGAAGCCTTCAGAATGGTGCCCTTATTCCAGCGCATGTCTCTGGGGGTAAACAGGAGACAAAGGGCTGCAGTTAAAGACAGCTGACCAGAAGAACACAGGATTCTTTATGGCTCATCTTGGAGAATAAGTCACGTACTTTAAGGACATACATGAAGAGCAGGATGGTAAAAACACACGGATACACACCTAGATACGCTCAGTCAATGGAATTCAAACAGGACTGGAAGGTAACAGTGTTTAATAAGGTTATAAGTTCTCATATTAGGGAACTACGGTCTGATAAGGTTAAAAGCTCTAATATTAAGGACATAAGGTCTAATAATAAGGTTATAAAGTCTAATCCTAAGGTAATAGGGTCTAATAATAAGGTTATAAAATGTAATACTATGGTAATAAGGTTTAATAAGGTTATAAAGTCTAATGTTAAGGTAATAGGATCTAAAAATAACGGTATAAAATCAATTTGCAAGGTCTAATAATAAGATTATAAAGACTATTTATAAAGTTAGGTCTACTCCGTTATGTTTTATATGTACTTTAACTTCTACAGTTAAAAGTAATACAACCAAAAAAAAAATAAAATGCTTCAAAGTAGCACTGAAAAGTTTGATTTGACCAAAATGTACAAAATTTCTGCAAGTCGTTTTACTTTATTTGACAGCTGAGTGAATAATCGATTTCAACTGTAAAATATTACAAATCAAATAAATTAATTGGTTGCAGTAATATCATTTTATGAATTCACTAAGTGACTCCTTCTTGCCAGAACAGTCAAACATACTTACGGATCATTTGATTTGGGTATTAGGGTGCCCAGCTCTTTTATGCGATCGTTGATGTTGAATCTCCGTCTGCGTTCAACTAGAATTTGGTCAAAAATAAATAAATAGAAAGTAAAATTGTAGATTTTTTTTACATTTGTATTAATCAGACGGCATATTTTTCTTAGTCTTTTGGTCTAAGTTATTCTGTAAGCACATACAGACACAAAATAACAACAGTTAGTGCAAAGGAGAAAGTAAAGGTAGTTCTGTGATTTTTATTGACTTACTTAAGTTGTGGTTGTCCTTTTTCTGTCTCTCTTTAGCAAGAGCACGAACTTCAGCTTCTGTAAAGGAAGAAGAAAGTAAAAAATTCAATAATTAAAAAAATAAGTCAACATCTTTCATAATCTTTTAGTGACAGTCAGAGTGATCTGACAGCTACAGCACAAAAAAATTATTTAGCTTGGACTCTTATCACATGTAATTTAATCAAATACAAAACACCCAACAGTTTCTTAAAACAGCTGAAGAGAAACATTTTCATCTTGCTTTTCTTACCTACTGGAAAGCCCTCAGGCCTTTGATAGCTTTCGAACTGACCACAGGATCCAGACTTGTCCAGTACTTGCTTCATGCCAGGAGCTGGAGTAAATATTTAGCAAATCGTTGACTTAATTTTAGCTTGTGCACTTCCGAATTGCACACAATACTCTCATTTGCCTTTGAGTAATCATTTTACATGAGATCAATTTATATGTGAATGTTATTATTATTATTTTACCTATGAATTCCCTTTTAATGTTGGGTGCACAGGAGTTGCTGATAGACAGACCTGGGAGTGGAAGCCCTTGGCTGTTGTACACATCCAGTAAATTCCCAGACACAGGGAGCTAGAGGATGAAACACACGTTGTTAACAGAACAGTGATACACATTTATATCAAATCTGTAGAAAGTGTTTGAATGAATTACCGGACTGTTGATTTGGAGTGCTGGGTCTATCAGTCCGAGAACATCTTCATTGTAGCTTGACTCCAAGCTAATAATATCATCGATGACGTCGTCCATCTGTTTGATACACGGTAACTTCTTCACTACACTGTATCAAGACATCCCATAGTGATGAAGTTTAAAGGGAAATAATGAACGCACCTCCTTCTCACAGTGTGAGCCGAGGGTGAGCAAGGCCATGGGACTGTTGGGTGCGCTGCCGGTGGGTCCGGGTGGCATGCTGTGCTCGGGGGTCTGGTTTGGACACTGGCCTGCAGCTTTCCCACCCAGAGTGGAGGACAGGTACTGCCTCACCTGCTGCCTCTGAGCCTGCTGGATGTGGTACTTGGATGGATTTTCCAGGTGAGACTGCACCTGCGTACACGAGCCGGATATAAACGTCTGGTCTCATTTTGTGGCTAAATGTATTTTTTTCTGTTCGTTGTAAAATTTAGCAAGGTTGCGGATCACAGAGATCCAAATCTACTGGAATTTCTGTAGAAACAGGTAGAAACCTAATAAATTTCCAGGTCAGGTTTGTACATTTTTATTAACCTTTATTTAACCAGGCAAATCCAACTAAGATTACAAATGTCTTTTCCAAGGGAGGCCTGGGCCTGAAGGCAGACTAACCTATGTTTTTGGTCTGTGGGAGGAAACCGGAGTATCCAGAGAAAACCCATGCAAACACAAAAAGAACATGCATACTCCACACAGAAAGACCCCAGGTCCAACCGGGGATTAAACCCAGGACCTTCTTGCTGTGAGGCAACAGTGCTAACCACTGAGCTGTCGTGCTGCCACTGAGGACTAGTTCTTAAACATTTTATCTGATAAAATAACAAAATAAAATAAATTCCGATTCATCGCAGATGGTGGTTCAAAGAATAAAAACCAGTTCATCTTTAAATTTTTAAAATACATTTTAATGTTCAAAGCTTGAAAAAAAATTCTAAATGTGTCCGATGCCTAGGTAAGACGTGAACCAAACTGAAACTGCAGTTTAAATAATTATTCTTGGAGTTTTATGCTGATGATGGAGCTTTATAACAAACAAACAGCTTTTCCAGACAAGTGAATATTTTTATAACTTTGATAAGTTAAATTTAAAAAAACTTTATTCTCCAATTACATTTCAAAAAAAGAAAAAAAAATCAAGTTAAAAACTATATCAGAGCTTTGAAGTTGAACGTCACCATTCTACAACTGCAATATTTTTTAACCATTTTTAACTCATCAATCAATACAGGAAGTGTGTTTGTTTAGCTAATTATTATGCATTATAGTCTGGCAAACAGCATTTACAGCACATTCGAAATACAACAAAATATCATCACTTTCATTGTTTAAATTACAATTATACTGGGCAAGGGGGTATCTTAATTTACAAAAAAAAAAAAAAAGAATACGATCTAACTCACCTGATAGTGGCTATATTCAAGCATTTCCAGCATGTTGTGATGATGATTTAAACTAATTGAAAAATGAAACTAATCCCTTTTTCTTATTAGCATAGACTGTGAACACCAAGCTAGTGTTTGTAAATCTGAGAGCAGTCTGGAGTCCTGCCTGATTTATCCTGGGAATAAGGCTCATTAGTTATGCACGTTAAAAGATGGAGGACATCGACTCATCCTCCCATTGCAGAGTTGTTCCAGATTAAACTATGAATTTATGCCTTTATTGAGCCCATTTGACGTCATGACCTTCAGCTAACAAAGGAGTCTTTTAGTTGATTGGCCGGCAGTCTGCAAACTGAAGTTTGCTTAAGGCCAACTAACATTTAATCTTTAGTTCTGCTCATCTAGTATAAAACATCATTTGTTCTGAGCGCCAGAGATACAATTAGCACCACTGTTTCGCTGCAAACTAGCCATATAAAAATCCAAACGTATATGTTGTTTACTAAGCCGGTTCAGTTGTTGGATGTTTCAAGATTTGTTCGACTTTCGCACAGTTACGTTTGCAGAGTAACTTAGATCAAAATTTTGAAGTTGACTTTATGAAGAATGTATCTCTTGTGAGCTACTCTCTGATTTTATCAATTTCAGATCAATTTAAAACACACTAGAATGTTTTATTCAAAAAGATTTGTCTACCTAATGTTTTATTTTTTGCTATGTTGATCATGGCACCAAACAGTGTCATTACTCTGCAAGGAGCCAAGAGGGTTCAGTGATTGGCTTTGAATAACTATTGTGACCAGAGATGTATGCCGTGCCCAGAGAAAACCCACACAAACACAAGGAGAACAGGCAAACTCCACATGGAAAGACTCCAGGTCCAACCCGGGGCTTGAGCCCAGGACGTCCATGCTGTGAGGCAACAGTGTGAACCACTAACCACTGTGCTGCCAAGTATAAAAAGCACTGAAGAACGAGTGTAAAATGTGCAATGGCAGAGAGAAAAAGAAACTGCTCTGGGATGACAAAGGAATTAAGATCTGACTGAATTAATGTGATCGCTTGAAGGAAAGAGGGGCTCACTGACATCCAGTAGCATAATGGCAATAACAACACTGTGCAAAAGTCTTTAACTACCGCTTATTATTATTTTTTTTTATTTTTTTTTTTTACATTTTGCTTCCAAGGAGCCAGATGCTTCTGTAAACCTCAGAGGGTGGTTTTGATCAATAGTTCTCCAGGCTGTTTGAAAGTCATCCAAAGATTTGCTTTGGACATTGGTGGCTTTTTTTTATTACAGTCCAGATCCAAACATTTTCAAAGGTTGTGTGTTCACTATTTTTGTCGTATTTAAACCAGAGAGTTTTAACAACACAAACCAGAAAACCTAGCAAAGAATCAATTTTACATATTTTCAAAGCACTTTATAAAAAGCCTGGTGTAAGGGCACATTTTATTGTTTAATTACACGAGTCTATGAATAAATGGTTAAAAACAGTCAACAACAATGTTCTGAGAGATGAGCTTGATACTTAGCTGGCAAATTGTGCCACTACTTTAACAGCAGATGAACAAACCCAACGTCGACTTGTTTAGTTACTGTTTGCTGAAATTTAATTAGAAATAGGTTTTAGTGGAAGACTTGTCAAAATGGCATCTAAAGGAAGGGGGAAATGGATGAAAAACTGACTGTCAAAAACTGTGCCGTTATTCAGTGACAGCATGTTTATTGGAGTCTTGAACCAGTAACTTCTCATAGCTTGGGTTTTTGTAAAGGACAAAAAGCAGGAGGGAGGCTGGAGCGGGGAAAAAAGTATCCATTTTCATCAAGAGCAAGCTGGAAGTATTGAGACACTGTGCTTCAAAGCACAGTGTCTCAATACTTTTACAAAGTATTGTCTTTTAAAAAGTTTGTTTTATATTGTTTGGTACAATGACACGCTGGTACTCTAAATATTTTCAAATATTATAGCCTATTATATATAATAATTTATCTTATATATTGCATATTGTTAAAATCAAACAATCAAAATAGCCTCACCATTGTCTTATAAATCAGGCATTAAAAAAATCAAGTTTTCTGGATGAAAGCAAGATGGTAACAATAGTTCCTGTTACTGTCTGAACCGTTGACCATCCTCAGTATTGATTTAGCAGATTTTCACACTATTTAAGTAACTTGGTATCTTTAGCTCTAGCCTTACTAAAACTGAAATTTGCTTGAAATAAGCTAACTCTAAATCTGTAAACTTTGGAGTGAAATGGACACAAGACAGTGGCTGTGCCAGAAAACAAATAAGAGGGAGAAGTACATCCATCAAGGTAAAAACTAACTCTGGTCTTGGCTTTAACTATATACAATATATTTTTTTATTATTACTTTTTTTAATCACTACGTGTCCATGAAAAATGCTGAAGTGATCATTTTGCGCTACTAGGTGTCAATAAATTTCATATTTACTTATGTCAATGACAGAGAAAGAACTTTCTTAGCTTGGTTAAACGTTTCTTGAATACTTGTTCTCATACATTCATAGCATTCATTTCGATGTCTCTATGGGATATGCCGCCCCAGCGTATTTCTTATAAGCTCTTATCTCATTACCCAGTCCTGATTAGCTGGTGATTGCGACACCTGCATCACCTACCCTTTAAGTAGCTTGCGCTACAATGCAGCATAATTCAAAAACCTTGCTTCGAGGCATATCTCTTCAGCATGCTAGCTTACTGTCCTTAGATCAAATACATTTTTTAGCCAACTCTCCACTGACGGGTGCTAGATGCTGTGACTTCTGTCTTCACCATAGTGCAGGAGTCCTCAATCACAAGGCCGCAAACCAGTACTGGTCCGTGGGTCAATTGATACCAGGCCGCACAGAAAATTAAAAAAACGTTTATTTTGAAAAATCACCAGATTCTCTCCACCACATCTGTCTATGACTCACTCTTGATGTATGTCAACATACACTAGTGCTTAGTTTCAGTTTGTGTTAGGCGTGCATGCACAGATCGGTTCTACATTGCCCGTGCAGGGGGTGAACAGCTTCATGGTCTGGAGCATATGTGGAGGCGCGCTGCCATATCTGCGCATTTGAAGGATTACACTGCATATTTTTTAACCCACCTGACAAAGAGTGACAGTAAAACTATAACTAAATAAAACTATAATTTTAAACAAAGCTTCCTTATATTACATCAGAGCTGTTCCTTCACATTTCTGCTTCTGTCCTTTAAAAAATCTCTGCACCTAAAAGTTCAAAGTCAATTTTATTAAAAAACACAAACATATAATTAAAGTTTTGCACTACGCATAAGTTCATGCGCTTTTGTGAATAATCTGATGTGTGATCACTGCAAGAGTGATCTGAACTGCAAAAAAGAGATGATGATCTTATGGCTCATAAAGCTTGTTGTCATGCAGTCAGCATATTTGAATATTTCCTGCATTTTGGTGTATTTTAATGGATTGTTAAACATCTACTGTATGTTTACCTACATTTGTAAACACTTGATTAAATAACTATTTTGGAGAGCAACAAGCTTATCTGTGAATAGAGGAGCTCTGATTCTGTCAAGCGTCCTAACAATCCTGCCTCCCCTCACTTCACAGTTCTGACCCAAACTCTTATCCGCTGATTTCAGTTCTGTGCGCTGTTGCTCCTGCTCCAATCTTGATTGCCACTGCACTTGAAGTGACAACATTTGAAGCACTTGAAGGCTTCAATTCTCAGTTGTCCAGTTAAGGATAATCCATCCATCCATTATTAAAGTAAACTGGACTGTCTTTTCGACATTTTGTTCTCTGTTATTTTGGTAAATTAGCACCATTGTTTTGAAGCGTGATGTAATGTGAATAATAAGCATCAAAATTTTCTCTCGCTGTATTTAATAAATTTTTTATTGTAAGTCTTTTTATTTATTAGGCCTACATCTGAAATGTATGCGTGAGTTCCGACACATCAGCAGTTGTGCGCGTGCTCTGTAGAGCTGTCTGGAGATGCTCCTGTGCATAATGTGCACTAACGGATGCGCCGCTGAAGGTTTTGGATGAAGACGCTTCATCCCCACGAGATATGCCATCCGCGTCACTGCTGGGCAGGAGCGGGTGCACGAGCTGGTGCACGTTCTGCGGATGGAACATCCACTCCACAGACTGGGCCTGCAAGGCCAAGGGCAACGTCTCCTCTCCTTGTATTGTTAATAAATAATCAAAATAAAAATATGCAATGACTTTGGAGATAAGAGCTGCTCCCCATTTTCCTAGAAAATGGGTGGCGTTCCTCATTCCCTGATGGATGAGGATGTGGTCTCCTGGAAGGACTGCACATTCAGTGGGAATCCTCAGATTCCTGGAGCTTCTTCTCTGGACTATGAGAGCACAGAGAAGCTTGGCATTTACCACATGTCCCCTATGGAGGCACTGGTTGCCATCCACCAGCATCCAGAGCTGCCGATTTCTTCCAGAACCCACATGCAGCCATTAAAGGATGACTGCTTCCAGTCTAATTTAACTGAAAGGGGCTACAGAGCTACAGTTGTTTCTGTTAAAGCACTCAGTGTTTCTTCCAAGCTTTCTGTATACCAATCTGAGCTGTATGAGGACATGGTCACCAGGCCTGACCACGATGTGTAAGAGGAAATCACCATGATCATGGACATGTATTATGCATACAGAGCTACATAGTCCAAATCACAGGAACGTCAATGAGGATGAATGTGTTGCAGGATAAAGCAAGGTGGCTCAACCTGACCAACCTGTCAGACAGAGAAAAAGAGGACATCCTGGATATGCCGATGCCTGAGGGCATTTTCGGCTCTGCCTTAGCCACCATGCAGCAGAGGTGTGAAGATCAAAAATAAGAGGACGAGGTGTTCCAATTTTTCCTATCCAGAAAGACAGGACCTCCCTCTCAGGAAGTCCCACAGTAGACCTTCTCTCAGGCAGCATTACAACCGCCTCATATAAAAAAAAAACCCTAATTAGCCACAACCTAAACTCACCCCAACCACCCTGATGGGCCAGGAGATGAGACCAGGTTAACCCTGAAAGA